GAGGAACAGCAAGCACGAAAGCTCTAGGACAGGATAATGCTTAGTGTGTTTGAGAAAAAGCAATGAGGCCGATGTAGCTGGAAGGACGTGTGTGAGGAAGAGAATAGTGGATGAGATAGGCAGCAGGGGCTAGATCATGGAGAGGCTTTGTAGGCTATCATGCTATCATAAAAACTTTGGTTTTTATTCCAAGTGAAATGGCAAGTCATGAGAAGTTTTGAGCGGAAAAGTGACATGATCCGACTTAGATTTGAAAAGTGTTACTCTTGCCTGCCGTATGGATGTTCTGTTTTGTGGGAACAGGGAGTCCAGTTTAGGAGGCTTATTACAATAGTAGAGAAAAGAGATGACGTAGTGGCTTTGACTGAGGGTTAATGGTGAGAAGCACTGTATTCTGGCTATATTTTGCATGTAAGGACCAATAAAATAGAAGAGTCAAGGATGATTCAAGTTTTGGCCTGTGAAACTAGAAGAATGGAATTGCTTTTATACTGATAAGAGATAGAGAGGAGTGATCATGGGGAGTAGAATTGTTTATGTAGAAGCTAGGATTTGACTTTGACCATGTTAAAGCTGAGGTGCCTATTAGGTGTCCAAGTGGAGCTTTCAAATGGGCAGCTAGATACAGGAATCTGTAGAACAGGGAAGAAGGGCCAGGTTGTGTTGGTATATATATCACACTTAAAGTCTAAACAGGATATAAGTTGCCTAGGGATTAAAATAAAGATACGGAAGAGAAGAGGTTCAGGGACTAAACCGTTAGGCAATCCAGCTTTATTTAGAGGTCAGGATGAAGATGGGCATTTACAAAGGAGGTCCTAAAGGAGGACCAGTGAGCAAGGAGGAAAACCAAGAGTGAGTGGTGGCTCTGGGAGGCAACAAGATGAAAAACAATTCAAAAAGGAGAAAGTGATCGCTGTGTTAAAATCTGCCAATTGGTCAAATGAGATAAGGACTGAGAATTGATAACTGGATTTTGTAATGTGGAGATTGCTGGTTACCTTGATAAGAACAATTTCTGTGAAGTGGTGAGGATGAAAGCACAGTCGGTGTAGGGTCAAGAAAGAATCTAAGAGGGAAATAAAGATGGTATAGAAAGTTTTTTTTTTTTTAAATGAATTTTGCTGTAAATGAAGGAAATAGGGCAGTGGGAACATGGTGTCAGGAGAGAATTTTTATTCAAGGTGGGAGGTATTAAAGTGCTATAATGTTGACGAAATAGTGAAATAGTCTGGTAGAGAAAAACAAAAATGATGCAAGAAGAAGAGGGGATGTTTATATAAGTGAGATCCCTGACTGGGTGAGAAACAATGGCTCTCTTTTTAGGATCTCGTGAAATAGGTTGTATCATCTTTTCCATTAGTTTGCTGGTATTTGACTATTACCCTATGCTACCTTCCTAGTTAAAGCTTGTTCTAAATCTGGGAGCTGAGCTGAATCAATATATAATTAAGTTGAGGTTGAAAAAGTAGCTAGACTTGCTTCCGTCTTGTAGTAAGTTTAAAATCGAAATCATTGGCAGTGGCCTGGGAAATGACATGTTTGAGCTAAGTTCCAAATATACTGACTTGTAAAAGATTTCCAAATTACCTTAAGTTCTAAAATGGATATTTGAAAATATTTTTGGCTTTGCTGTGCATGTTTCTGCTATATGGTGACTCTGTAGTTATGTTTATACATTTACAGGCAATTTCCTTTTTGTTAACATATAAAACTTTAAGTATAGTCATTTATCTTATATGGTTTCTAGAGGTAATTATTTTCTTTTCCAGAGTTACTTTTTTTTGAGATAGAAAAGCAACAACAAATATTTTATTGTTATAAAAGCACAAAGGGGTCTTTGTAAGAATATGCTTATATAGGAATTAGAAAACTTAAAATTTTAAGATTTCTAATTTTATTTCCAATCACATTTATCAAAAACATACTTTAAATTTTATAAATTCTAGCTCTCTGGGGCCAGCTTTTCATAGGTTTTGCCTTGATACATAAATCATATAAGGGGTACCTTAAAAAAACAAACTCAGAACCTAGATAACATACTTTTGAAAGGACTTAAACAGATTGCTCATTTTTATATTTATGTCAATTAAATAGAATGATGCCACTAAGGAAAGAATATTGACCTGTAAGCCAACCGTTGATCAATCTTAAAGAAGTCTAACCTATATGACATATAGGCAGCCATATTTGGGGGAGTCGAGAAATTTAATTTGATTAAAAAATATCCTTTGTTTGAATTTAGAACTGCCTTATCTTGAGGCACAGGAGACAGTATGTGGCCCAGGGATATATATTGAAATAATCTCATGAAATAGGAGTTCCAAAAGCCTTCCTGCCATGACTGTCAGACATCTTGATGCCAGAATTGTTGTCTGTTCTGCAGTCTGCAGGAATATCTCAACGACCCTTAGAATGGAGCTGTACAGGTATGCATCACTTAAGAAACCTCTTACTGAGTATAAAAATATAATCAGATAATTGGGGAAGGGGCTTATATATAAAAAAATTATTTTTTACTACAAAGCAGATACTGTGAATACTGAAAGCCCCTGTCTCATACTTTTAAAATAGAGGTTGATTTGTTAGTAGTTAACCTAGTAGGAATAGTATGGAATAAAGGACACTCTCACTTTTCATTTTATACCCTTCTTCATTGTTTGACTTTTTTACTGTGTACATGTATTACTTTTAATATTAAAACTAGTTTAAAAATTTTAAAAGCTAAGAAACGTTTATATGAAAGACCAGTTTGTACATACACACACACGCACACACACACAGAGCAAAGCATACCTATAGAGCTCTACCAGTGTATATCATGAGACAAATGAATCTTCATAAATTATGTTGTTACTTTAAGTTACTGGAGATGTGCAACTTGTTTACTTCTCATCCTTGTTTATGTTAGCAGCAGGTTACTCATGGCAGTATCTCAAATCCTATAAAGGCTAGCAGTAGAAAAAAAGTCTAGGTATGCAGCAGTGTAGTTTATTCTTATTTGACTTGAATAACTTTAATAACTTTAATTAGCTCATAGTATTGTTTACTTAATATTTGTGAGATTCCATTTTGTAAAAATAAAATATTCTGAATAATGACTATCTAATCTGGCCTTTTTTTGATATAGTTATCTAATATTTTTTATTGAAGCCAGAATTTTGAGGGCCATCGAGCACAGCAAAATAAAACTTGAGAGAGGCAATAGGGAGGCTGCTGCCTCTGAAAACAATTATCATTCAGGTTGATCGCATATGTTCACAGCCGTTTTTAAATTTAGTTTCTAGCTTTCTAGGTCATACTTTAGGTTAAGTATATCTTACAGACTTTTCTTATTCCTGGAGATCTTATTTCATTTGGTCCAATCTTTTTATTTTGTATTTTGCTGCTATTATAGAACAAGGAATACAAGAACCTGACTTTGTCTAATCCACGCTAGTGTTCTTTTATTATTTCCTACATCCTCTTTGATGAAAAACTTCTCATAGAATGTGTGGTGGATTCTTGGCAGTCATAGTTTATACTATTCACTTATAACCTTGAAGGTCTCAGAATGAACAAGTGAAAGTCCACGTCATGTAGTAATTGGTAATTTTCCTGACATAGGAATTTAAATTACACCACACTGCAAGGTTGCTGTGTGGGAAACCGTCACTTAACCTGTGAATGATCATGGACAGTGGCCTTGCATCCTCATTTGATTGCAGCTCTGTTGGCACAGAAATTCTGTAGGATTAGGAACTGGACTTACTGATGTAAAGGGTCTGCTGTGTGGGAATAAAGTGAGAAGCAAAAGTAGGATCAGTTTTTAGAGGCATGGTTTAGCCTAATGACAGATTGTAGGTATTAAAGTATAATTTTGTATTCGCCTTCATAAGAAATTACATTGAGAACCAGAGTGACCCGGTAAAGCTAGCAGGGATGACTTATTGGGTATTTTAATAGCTTTTAAAAGACTGACTGGGACATACTTTTATGATGCATACTCACATATCTGTAGAGCTCAAATTTTCATTGATCTCCTGGCTATTATGCACAAAAGAAAAAAACCTTAGATGTTCCCTTGGTGAAGCCTCCTTTATTAGGAGTGACCCCTTAATGAAACCTTGTTTCCACATGCATGTAGAATCATAGGTTCTATTAGCAAGAGAAGGATGTAGAAACAGGACCAGTGGTGAGATTTGATGATTATTGCTGTATATCTGGGCCAGGATAAAGGGAAGTATTAGAAAACCTCTTTTTTGAAAATAGTCTTGGTCCTTTCATGAGTTGGAGTTCCTCATGATGGGGGATACGAGGGATGGTGTACTTAATGATTTTTTAAAAATGCTCTGCAATGTATTTTCTCTCCAAATTAAGACTCTTCCTCTCTTTTTGTAACTATTTTGTTTTTACTTGAAGCAGACTTTTAAGTCTTTAGCTTCGGAAAGACATACCATGAAATCTGAGTTCTACTATAAAACATATTTACCTCAATCATATTTTCAAAACTGTCTTCCTTCCTTGTAGTCTTATAGGATAGATGATTCTGTAAGTATCCTTCCAGGTTTTGGGATCGTTGCTTTTCCTGCTCCATGGACTTCTTACCTTCTTCAAATATATAAAAATCTCTTTGGTGGTTAAGAATGGGTTCTAGAGGTCTACTGCCTGGCTTTAAGTCCTGAAGTAGCGACTTGATATCTGTGTGACCTTGAGCAAGTTTCTTAACCTTTATGCTTTAGTTTCTTCATCTTTAAAATGAGGAAAATAATAAATCTATCTCATAGGGTTGGTGTGAGGATTAAAAGAGTTAACACTTTGAGTCACAAGAGTGCCTGACTCATAGTAGGCACTCAGTAACTATTAGTTATTACCATTATCATAAGTATCCTCCTCATCCTCCCATACCTGCTTGGGCACTAAGTTGTAACAGCACTCTAGACCATGACATTCCTACTTCATGCCATAGTTTCCAAGAGAGCTTTACTTAACATTTCCTGCTTCTAATGTGTCCTTTGTGCTCATGTTTTTCAGAAGTACTGGACTAAAAACAGTTTTATATTGTCACCCCTCTGTTCAAGAGCATACAACAGTTTTTCAGTAGCTTGTGTTATCAAGCCCAGATTCCTATCTGACTCTGGCTTACCATTACTTTCTTGTTCCACTCGGGACAGTCATATTTTCTCATCTGCATCGCACATGGACATTTGTTCATGTTCTTTATGCCCTTCCTTCATGCCTTTGCCCTTCTACTCTTACTATTTCTGTCCTTCTCTTACTTCAAGAATACAGTACTTTCAAGAAGCCTTTTTGACTTCTAAGAATCGAGCTTGGATAGAAACAGGATTGGTAAAACTGGGAGAGACTCGGACTAGAAAGACAGGTTGATTTAGAGATCAGAGTATGGATTGGGGGTCAGAACCTTTAAATTCAAGAATGGGAAATACGAACTAAAATCTGAAAACCACATCTAAGATGGTGGGACTGGTTTAAGGTGTAAGGATGGAAGTGAAGGGATGGGATATAAGTGACAACTTGAGAGCAAAGCAGTGTTGAAAATCTGAGATGTCAGATCCAGTTTTGAGATAGAACAGGGCAGAACCAGATGGATCAGATGGTTTTTAAGATCCACATGGCCAGGCAAGATAGCATATTTCTGAACTGGCAAAGGGGAGCCAGTAATGTTAAGATCAGGAACAGGTGTTAGTCTGAAGCAGACAGTATTGGGGTCTTGGGACTGGAAGATTGGAAGCATAACCAGATAAAATAGAGCCCTTGGCTAGGCTTCAGTATCAAGATCAGTACAGGATGGCAGCCAAACTCTAGGGCTGAGCCGCAGAACAACTTAAATTTCTTTCTGGCTAAGATTAGGAGTGTGCTGTGAGAATATTTCTATATTGGGCAACTTGATAGGCTCCCTTGGATAGAGTGACTACCATTAATCTGACCAGTAAAGCCCTCAGTGATTTCTGTGTGCTTAGTGTATGTCCCATATTACTTAGCTCTTGATTAAGTATGCTACTATCTTGTATTGCTATGATTGATTTATCAATCTCCATGTGGAGATTGTGAGACTCCTTATCTTAAGCTAGTTCAGATGAGGACCATTTATTGTGGTATGATTAACATACAGTTGCATATATGTAAAGTGTACACTTTGATATATTTGAAATGTGTATACACCTGTGAAACCATTACAACAATTAAGATAATGAACATATTCATTATCCTCAGAAGTTTCCTTGTGCCCTTATGTAATTCCCCTTTCACATTTACTGATATAGTTTCTGTCACTATAGATTAATTTTTATTTTCTGGAGTTATTTAAATGGAATCATAAAGCATGAACTTTTTTTTTTTTGTTGGACTTCTTTTACTCAGCATATTTCTTTCTTTATCTTAACCTTTTTTAGCATAATTATTTTGAGTGTGTCAATAGTTCATTCCTTTCTATTGCTGGAATATTCTATTATATGGATATACCTCAGTTTGTTTATCCATTCACCTTTAGAGGGTCATTGAATTTCCAATTCTTGGCTGTTGCAGGTAAAACTGGGATGAACATTTATGTACAATTCTTTGTGTGGACATAATGCTTTATTTTTTCCTTTTCCTTTTTTTCTTTTTAGAAGTGGAATAGCTTGGGTCATATGGCAGGAATATGTTTAACTTTTTAAGAAATTGCCAAACTGTTTTACAAAGTGGTTGTACTGTTTTACATTTCCACCAGTATAGATTTAGTTTCAGTTCTACATCCTTGCCACACCTAGTATGTCCACTGTTTTTAATTTTAGCTATTCTAGTGGGTGATTAGTGGTAGTTCATTACAGTTTTAACTTGCTTTCCTTAATGACAATTTTATTGAGCATTCTTTTGTGTGCTTATTTGCCATCCCCGTGTATCCTTTGATGAAGTATCTGTTCACATCTTTTCCTATTTAAATTTTTAAAAATATTGTGGTAAAATACATATGACATAAAATTTACCATCATAACCATTTGTATAAACAGTTTGGTACAGTGTTAAGTACATTCACATTGTGAAAAACCAATCTTCAGAATTCTTTGTCTTGCAAAAATGGTTACCTGTTTTTTTAAGTATTGGGTTTTGACATTTTTAAATGTATTCAGATATAAATTCTTTGTCAGATAAATGCTTTACAGATATTTTATCTAAGTCTATGTTTTGTCTTTTCAATTTACTGTGCATCTTGAAATTGACCACAGTGGGGAATGATTTACTCCCCATTCATTGGCAAATTGCTACAGGGCTTTATTTTTTGTTCATTTTCTGTATATAAGAAAGAAATGACAAAGGGTTAATAATACAAATTAAACTTAAAATTATGTTGTTTCTGTAGCCTTAACATTGTGAATAGCACAAAAAAGTAAGGAAGGAAATATTCTTTCTAGTATTTGAAAACTATGATCAGCAAAGAAATCATTCAAAGTTATTGTTTTTGTCAGTTGCAGCCATCACTTGGCTAGGGATAAGAGTTCAGCTAAAATCAGTGAAAACATTCTGTGACAGTTAGTTGGCTTATGTGGAATTTTCAATAAAGTATTATATGTTTTTTCATTATTTGTAAATTGTGTGGTACATACATAATTCAGTAAAATTTATAATAAGCTTATGTATATATGTGTGTGTGTCAGTTTTTTTTTTCCTACAGAACCAGTTGTTAAACATTACCAGCATACTCCTGGCCACACACTAATTAGTATTAAGTACTAAGGGAACCGTTTCTAGATTCATGTAACTTGAATGAGTCAAGAAAGAAAAATGAGTTCCGGAAACAGTCATTCTGTAGGTAATTAGTGACCCATTCTAATGCCGAGACCAGAGGATGAAAGAGATGAGTATTGGAGAGAGAAAACGAAAGGCATAATACACAGAAGGCCACGTCAATTATCTTACTGATAAAGACACAGAGGGAAGTTTGTTGTAGGGTGCTTTTTTTTTTTTTTTTTTGTCTGAGTTGATTTGCTCTTGGTCTTATTATCATTGTTATATGATATTCTGCTAATGGTATTGAAGAGGAATATTAAAAACTCATACAGTATTAGTGTTACATTAGCAACTTCTGGTGAGCCTTGGATCTCCAAATCTAATCCTTCTTCAGACCAAAAAATTTACAAAATAGTTTTTAAAATTAAAAATTGGAACACAGAACAATTATGTGTTTCCTATTATTGTCCAGAAGTTGCATTGTTAGTTACATTGCTTTTTAATCTGTACACTCAATTCTGTTATATTTACCATAGTTAACTTTTAAAAATTTTAAATACAATTTTTAAAAAAGTTTTATTTTTCAGAATATCTTGATTTTGAATTTGATAATTAAGTTTAAAAATATTTTGTTTTGTAGCCATGCAGGATATACGTACTGTGGGTCTTGTGCTGCTCATGCTTACAAACAAGTGGATCCATCTATTACGTAAGTAATATAGTTAGAGACCATTCGTTTGTGAGAAAAGATTGGGAATTATACTGGAGTAATTTGTTTTTCATACTTATTGTTATTATGTACTCTTTCATTAGGAATTTGACTTTTTACAAATTTGATTATAGCTTATTTAGGTTATGAAAGCTTTAATATTGTCTTTCATTATCTGAACATTTAGTTTTTACATTCCCTTTAGTTGGTAAAATGTTTAGTTCTGGAAATGTTAGAAGGTTAATATTATATTGTGATTTATAAGAAATATATTTTGGTCATTTAAGTGATGACCGAAATATATTTCTTATATACATTTGGTCTTAGTTCATAGTTCCTGACTCACAGGTTCCAAAACCCTTGGAATTTCTTAAAGATTGGATGTGACAAAGGTGCCCTCTTATTATAGAGAGGTGTAATGAGGTGACTTTTGGACCCCACCTAAGGATGGAGGCTGGTTGCCAGGACAACCAATTATGCGATTAGAGGGTTGGAATTTTTAGGCCCATTCCTGACCTCTGGGGACTGGAATGGGCCTAGAGGTTGAATCAGTCACCAGCGCCCAATGATTTAATCAATCATGACTATGTAATGAAGCCTCCACAAAGATTGAAAAGGACAGGGTTCAGAGAGCTTTTAGGCTGGTGAACACATGAAGATCTGGGGGAGACTGGCACCCTGGAGAGGGCACGGAAATTACATGCTTTTTCACCGTACCTTTCCCTATGCATCTCTTCCATCTGACCGTCCCTGAGTTATATCCTTTTATAATAAACTAGTGATCTTAGAAATAAAATGTTTGGGTTCTGTGAGCTGCTCTAGCAAATTAATCAAACCCAAGTAAGGGGTCATGGGAGCCTAGGTGACAACCTGGGCTTCAGACTGGCATCTGAAGTGGGAGTTGGGGGAACATTTCTTGTAGGTCTGAATCCTTAACCTGTGGCACCTGACGCTATCTCTAGGTAGACAGTGTCAGAACTGAATTGAATTCTTGGACACCCTGCTTATGTCCAAGAATTGCTTGTTGGAAGTGTGGAGAACACCCCTGCCACCTGTCCCCCCTCCCCCACACGCATGTTGGAATTGGGTACAGGAATACTAACAGTTAAATATTTAGGTTTTTAAATTTTTCTTTGAAAACCTGGAGAGGAGCTCTTTTAAGAAAAATTCAGAGCCCTTTGTTCTCTTTTAGTCATTTTGTAATTTAAAATTCTGTAGTGTACTTGTAAGTTGTGGTTAACGAAAGAAGAATAATTTTTCATTGACAGAATAAAGTACCTGAATTATTTTAGAATCTGATAGTGTATTTCTTACAATATTTGAAGCATGTAAGCGTTTAATAATTCAATGACAGCTTTGAAATTAGCTTTAAAAAATCTTTCTGGCAAATTGAGACTGAGCAGTATACTATTGTCTAAAATGAGAAAATTGTGAACTTTCTAATGCTTAGTATACTACTCTCTAAAATAAGAAACATGAACTTTCAAAGGTTTTTGCTGGAAATAGCCACCTAAATTACTTAATTTGCTGATCACCATTTTATTTTAAATAGTTAATTCACTGTATGTGGACCAGTATCAGGGTCCAGTCTGTATTGCCAGTCGTACACACACTGTGTGAATAGATGGAATCGATCATCTTAATTTTGTCCTGTGTTGATTGTTAGGTTAGACCTGTACTATAGAGATGAAGGGTAATTAATCAAAAGAAGTAACTCACAGCAGCCATGAGTTTTAAAAAAGATCTCACCCATAGCCTACTCCTTTGCCTTCGAGCAATTTGTTCAGTTTTTTAAAACGAAAAAGCTGCTCTTTTTGTTTTTATATAGTGTGTTTTGTACATTGTGTCATACCTTTGTTGAAAAATATTTTTAAGAAGTTTTCAATAATAAATAAAATAATAATGTTGCCAAATTGATGATATTTTGGTTAGCCCTGCCTCATTTATGATGTTTTGAGGGGTGTCCTTAACAAACGTGTCTTGATATATATTTGATATGCAATCTCAACTAAATTATTTCATGAATAAGAACAAATAGAAATTAGATTGGAAAGATTTTCAGAAGCTTTGACCCTGACCTATAAACCACCAAGATTAGTTTATGTAACAGATTTTTCTAAACCTTTTTCTATTTGGCAGAGTTTTTATTGATGATGTTATATGCTAGAAGGGTACCCCCAAATGAAATTTGGCCTTGGAATACATAGAGAGATAAAGAGCAATATAGGTAGAAGTGGAAAGCATGTGCTAAATAAGTTGATAGAAAGTGAAAATGGAAAGAAAAAAATAATAATAAAAAGAGAAGAGAGCTAAGGGCTAAGAAGATGATAAAGGAAATCAGTAAAAGGAGAGGCAAATGTAAAATGATGTAATCAGCTTATTTTTGTACTTAGTATATAATAATTGAATTCTGAATAAATAAATTTGAAGGTCTAAGTGTTAACAATAATAATTGAGTCATAGTTGTATTCTCTTGAAAGTGGCCCTTCTTGAGATTTGCAGGGTGTTCGGAGTCCTTTGAGAAAAAAGAAAGAACATCCTTTTAGGAACTATGAGAAGTATAGAGAAAAAATAACAATCAAAGAAAGAAGGTTAAGTTCTATACCACTATCCTCCATTATTACCTTCCACACTAATTCATTCTCTACACAGTAACTGGGATCATCTTTTGTACTATACTGTCTTGGTTTTGAAGACATCATTTACCTTCACATGATTTTTGTAATATCCTTCATGGAACATTTGGAAAATATTTGTTCATTAATTTGTGCAAATCTTTCAAATGTTGATGCTTATCATACAATGTAAAAAAAAAAAAAATCACATTTGTTAATATTACCAACAATGTCATCAGAAAAATTTTTCATTATTGGGAAGCTGTTAGTCTCAGTAATAGAAGTCTTGCAAAAGGCAAATTTTCACTTAAAAGCTTTAATGTTTTCTTTAAAGTGGCAGATTCATTTTGTTCATCTTCCTAGAAAATTTCTGCCAAATACTTAAATCTGTCTGCAGTCATTTTTTGAAGTAAAAAGTCCATTCCATGAAAAATCGTTTAGCTCACAACTCACAATTACACTCATACATTTCCCTGAGACACCCTTCTGTATTGTGGCAGAAATGATCTGTGCATTTATCACCACAAATTGAATTCATATTTTTATATAGAATATTTTTATAAAACTGTACTCAAAGTTCAAGGTTTAATGAAATTAAGTGAAACTGGCCTTAAAAAGCTTGTTGGATGAAGAATACATGATACTTAGTATATATTGACTCCATTAGCTTGATCGTAGTTCTGATGTGCCATTGGTTTACCCAGCCTCACTTTTGTACCATAAGCGAAGATGTCATCTCAGTGAAAAAGGCACATACCTTCTTTGTATTATTATGAAAATAGGTTTTTTTTTTTAAAATTTTGTGGATTCCTTGAAAGAGTTTTGAGGATTCCATAGTTCACACTTTGAGAACTGCTGTGATACAGGGTGATTGGATTTAGAGTGTAGATAAGGTGTTGGGGAAGGCATCTCTGAAGAAATGATTTTTAAGCCAAGCAAAAGGAACAGTAAGTAGCACTTGTGAAAGCTTGTAGGCAAAGCTGTATGTGTCATCAAGTAACTGCAAGAAGACCAGTGTACATAAAGTATTGTGATCAAGGCGAAGAGTAGTACAAGATAGGGCCATTTCATTTGAGGCTTTAGACCCAGTGTAAGGATTTTAGATTTTATCCTCTGACCATGAAAAGCCATTGAAAGACTTTTTAAGCAGGGGAGTGATATGATCCAATTTATGTTTCAAAAATAGCACTCTGGCTGTTTAAGAAAATTTTTAAATGATACATTTAGTTAAGTTCTTTTCCATATTTATAGTTGCAAAAGTCTTTTTCTATTACTAAAATTGTAATTAAAAACTGGAACTCAGGGTATACTTAGACAGTAACTTGATTCATATTTTTGCAGGGCAGAAAAAGCACCAAGCAATCTTATATGGGTCCATATGACATTTTATTCTTTAGTTAGAATACCTCCATCTGCCATGGAACACCTTTAAAAAATTACTTGTGTTCCATTATTTAGAAAAAATAGTTGAATATGAGGGCAGAGACTCAGGTAACTTACGTATTGGGTACACAAACACTCATCACAGTAAGTAATTCCACAAGTGTGAATTTTCTGGAGATATTATATGTGAACTATACTTCTGAAAGAATGCTTACTGATTTATCCCATTTTTTCATATTAAAGTTTTCTCTTACATGTGTGCCAACAGTGATGATATGCTAATATTTAAAAGTTACTTCTTTAAAAACAAAGTACCTTGCAACTTATCCAAGAGGGGAGAGAAAGTGGCATTGTTTTCAATGCTCGTATTACTCTTTCTCTCCAAAATATTTCTATGGCTTTAGTGTTTATGGGTCTAGCAATCTAGCAAAAAAGAAAAAAGAAAAAAATAGAAAGGAAAATGCCTTATCTTTTATTTACACTACTAATTTTCTTTTTGTTAGCATCCTGCTAACAAAAGACCCATTTTGCGATTACTACTGGTTCAATATACACGTCTTGTCTTCTTCTCTTCAATGATACCTAGCCTTTTTTGGTTTGTTTTTGGGTACATCACTATTAAGGGTTTTATGCTGATGAGACCTAAGCTTCCTTTTCCCTGTTATCTCTTTTAACCAGATGTGGAACTTCACTATGTTGCCTTTGGGTGAGTTTCCGCCAAACTGGAAGGATGTGTTGGGCACATGTTTGGCTAATCCAGGATTCAGGGTGCTCTTTCCCCAGCAGTCTTTATCTTTCCAGCTAGGTTGGGTCTGACAAAGAGGCAGGCAAGGTACATACATAGTCAAGTATTAGAGGAGACAGTTAGACTTCCCAGGCTGACCGTGGGTCTTTATTTCTGAAGTAGTGCTCATCTTGTGGTCACTGTGAGAACATTGTTACACTTAACTATAAAATGATCTATACCTCGAGTTTAGATTGATATTTTAAAAGTCATTTCATATTTTAATTATCCTGGATTTCCCAGGAGAGTTCTGATTGTAAATATTCTATCCCTCTCTCTTTTTATAGACATGTGTTCTTCAAACATAAAAATATATTTTTTTCATATTTGGTTCTTAGTTCATGTAAATACCTGTCTTTAGACAAGTCACTTCAATACTCAAGAATTTACCATTATGTATGTTCCTCATTAGACTTTAATTTTAAAAATTGTGATATTTATATGCTGTTAAGATAGGAAAACATAGTGTTATCTCTTTTGTTCATTTAGGAATCTATAGATTTTTATCTTATTTTTATGAAATGGTTATTGAGTTGATCATAATGATAATGACAGGAAGTGAGTGTTAGCAGCGGGGAGGGGGGCGGGTAGGGGAGGCAGGAAAAGAAGTGTTTCTGACTAGAAATGGCCTGTGAAAGAAGTCTTATATGTTTGCTATGTGTAACATCTTGAGGTGATTTTGGGATTCTAAACTGAGAATCGCTTTTTCCTTGTCCACATCTTTCTTATCTCTTACCCTTTCCAAATAACAAGTAACACGTAGCAGATAATAGGTTAATTTTCTTAGCTGTAATAGAATTTTATCACTATATTGCTAAAGCACACATTTCTTGGCCTGCAAGTTTTTGATATGAAAGAACTAGCTCATGTCTCAGTCTTTGTTCATTAATTTAGTAATGAGTAGTACTTAATTTTCTAGGTACATAGCCTATCGTGTATTTCTTTTCTCAGAATTTTGGTTCTTTCAGGGTGTGTGTGTGTGCGTGTGTGTGTGTGTGTGTGTAAATTTCATTTATATGAATCTGGAGAATAGAGGAAATAGATGGTTTGGGAATTTAGATTGTAGAGATGTTTGAACTAAAATGAAAGGAAGTTAATTTTACTCTTGATGTTAAGATAAAAGGATTATAAAGATTTAAGCTATTGTTTAGTCCAGTTTTTTTCTTTAGCCTACAGTGCAAATAACACATAATCAAATTTCTTTGTTTTTGAGAATGCCTGCTTCTTGAATGGGAACAGAGAAAGCTTACACAGAATTCTTCTCAACAAGATGCCTTTTTTCTCTGCCATGGAAGAAATGTGGAAATAGCTTTATCAGAATACTGCTTTGTAATGATATTTTATATGGAATTTTAGAATTTATACTGTTATGCATTTTTATTAAAGTTGTGAGAGACCTTAGAAGGCGAGTTTAGATTTTGTTAGAATGTTGAGATTTTATTTAATAGATGAAATGTTTAAAATTCAATTACCGTAGCTATTGAAAACCTTCTGTAAACTAGTGGTTGTGAATACCGAGATGATTTTAAGCATAGCAGGTTGATTTACTGTAGATAGCCAGTAACTGGTATTTCCAGGTGTTGAACATGGTTCTTTTTAATGCCTTCCAACAAAAAGATTGGAGCTAATCATTAGTAGGTATATTAGTTTGCTGGTGTTGCCATAACAATACCACGAACTAAGTGGCTGAAACAACAGAAATTTATTTTCTTGCAGTTCTGGAAACTGAAAGCCTGAGATCAAGGTGCTGGTAGGGTTGGTTTCTCTTGAGATCTATCTCCTTGGCTTGCAGATAGGTGTCCTCTTGATGTTTTTTCACATGGTCACCTCTGTGCATGTGCGCCCGTGGTGTCTCTTCTTCTTATAAGGACATCAGTCATATATGATTCAGTTCTCAACCTCATGGCCTCATTTTAACTTAATCACATCTTTAAAGATTTTTATCTCCAAATTTGGTTACACCCTTAGATACTGGGGGTGAGACTTCAACATATGAATTTCAGGGGAACACAATTTAGCACATAACAGTAGGCAATGAAATCAAGGAAAACAGTACTACATGTAATTTTTTAAAAATTACTTTTTTTTTGCTTTAATAAGGTTTGTGTAGAAGTGCAATTGTTCTGTGTTTTTTGTTGTATACCTCCTAGCCGGAGAATTTTCATCCTTGGGCCTTCTCATCATGTGCCCCTCTCTCGATGTGCACTTTCCAGTGTGGATATATATAGGACACCTCTGTATGACCTTCGTATTGACCAAAAGAGTAAGTATATAGAAATCTTATAGCTTTTAAACAGCTAAAGGTTTTTCAATAGGAATTCAAAGTTAATTAAAAAACTAAAAATATGAATATCATAAGTACTATCTTAATTTTTAAGATAATATTTGTTTTATATACAAAAAAATAAAAACAAAAAATCTTTCATATGTCTAAAAGACAACCACAGGTTTTCTGCCAGCCACAAAAATTGTTAAATCCCACTAGTTTCCAGACTGTAATGGTTACATTAACAGCCAGAGAAGTAGCATGTAGTCATTGTACCATGGGACAAGAAAGTAGTACCTACAACAGCTTGATGAAAAGTTTTGGGCATGTTAGTCTACCTCTCTATATATCAGTCACTTTCCTCACAGTAGATAGATAATGATGATAATGCCTTATTTCCAATCAAATGATTTTTAAGGGAAAAAAATGAGACCATAGTTGTGAAACTCTGAAAGAAGGGTGCTACGTAAATCTTGTATATTTTATTTTTAAAATATCTATTATTTTGATTTATTTTTTTGGTAAGCTTTTAGAAATCACATTTTTTATTTAGTTGGGTCTCATATATTGAATGTGTAAAATAAAACCTTTGACTTGAAATAATATTTTTTGGAGATTGGGAGAGGATAATTTAAAAAAATACAGAGTAATATAGAGAATAATGTTACAAATATTCATGTACTCATCATCTACAATTGACTCAAAATTTTCCCCTCATCTGAACTCAATTTACATTCTCAAAAGTAACCACTTTTATGAACTTGATGTATATCCTTCCAGTTCATCAAATTATATTTTAAGTATGTTGAGCACTTACTGTTCCAAGAAGTTTTGCAAAAAATACTTTCATACAGTGAAAGAAGCCATTTACAAAGGAAATGATCATCTTTATTTTTTAGGCATAAATATTCATAATTTGGGTTAAGTATCATAGAGTATTAGTAATTTGTTATTAAACTGTGTCTTATTAATGAAGCTGAAGTATTACTAGTATTATTCCCTGGGATGGTTTTAAGGGACACACTTTATTTTTCAAAGCTATTGGAGCATTCAGAAAATCTTGGTTTTGGATAGCCTGCCAATGAAGGAATGGAAGATTTTTAATTGGGTATAATTTTGTAGAAAAAAAGTCATAGCACATTTGTAGTTGTTTGCTTGATATTGGTAAGCACATTTCTTTGATGTAGTTATAAAAATGTTGGTTCTGTTCTAGGATAAGACAGAAATACTCATATCTTTTTTTACATTAAATTTCATCGTTGTACAATATCACTTTAGGTACAATTCATCATAAGGGTCTGAATTACTAGATCATTTTAATGTAATTTATAGCATGGTACTGTGGTGAATTTGTCTTCTGGTTTATCCCACAAGCTTTATTTTTAATTTTGAGAAAAATAGCATTCTTAGTGGGAATTTTCTGTTCTTATTATGCAGGAACCTGAGATGTGAAATGATCATCCTATACATTTCATTAAAAAAACAAAACAAAACTCAAAAACTATATTAATCTCATGAGTAAGGACACCAGTAGTTTTTCCGTATTTCAGTAGGAGTTCTAATCAACTGTGCCCTAATACAGCTATGTAATATAAAAATGTTATGGTATTATATGTATTATTGTTTTGTCTGGTATGTAAGAAGCTTGTTTTTTCTTTTTTAAAAATAGAAATAGGAAAAAAATGAAGGAAAATATTAATGTGGTGCTTGTCTTTTGCCAAAGCATGTAGTTTTGTGTTACTGGGTAGAGTCTCATAGGATAAAGATATACATTAATATGTTTGTTTTACTATATTTTGAAATCTCTTTAGTTTACGGAGAACTATGGAAGACAGGAATGTTTGAACGCATGTCTCTGCAGACAGATGAAGATCAGCACAGTATTGAAATGCATTTGCCTTATACAGCTAAAGCCATGGAAAGGTATATTGATTAATATAAGAAATCCCAGAGAAATCATAGATAATAATTTCTTTGGAATTATTTTAACTAGGGTAAGCTAATCATTAGTGTAAGGAGATTAAAAATTTTTATTTGAAATGAGATAAAAATTTGGGGTTGGATTTTCTTAATGTGGGTTGAAGTTGGTTTTGAGTAGTTTGCCTGTGAAGGCTGAACGTGGGAATTGACATGGTTGTTTTATTAGGTGGAAATTTTTAAAAAAACCCACACGTGTGTGTGTTTGTGTGTATTGATTTGCCTGTTATTTTATTCATTCGACACTTACTTATTTCAAAATAGCAATTACATTCTCTTATGGTATGGCGCTATAAGTAAGTAATAATAATATCTTAGATTTGGGTGTAACTTTGGAGGTCATTTATTTTAGCTTTACACAAAGTACATGAATCTCTTTTATAATATGCTTGATAGATTAGTGAGTAACAAATTGCTGCAAAACTTATCGGCCTAAAATCACAACTATTTTGTTGCTTACAAGTTTTGGGTCAGGATTTTGGGCAGGGCGTGCCTTACTCTGGTATACAAGATGTTCACCGAGGTGGTTCACATGGGGCTAGAAGATCAACATGGCTTTAGAGCTGGTCTTTAGTTGAGACACCTCATTTGTTCTTTAAATGGCCTGTTTATTCATCTAACAGGGCTTTTCTCTCTTCTTGGCCTCTTTCTAGAAGGATAGCCTAGATTTCCTTACATGATGATTCAGGGTAGCAAAAGGACAAAACAGAAATTTCTTGACCTGTGAAGGCCTAGGCCTGAAACTACGTAGGATCATTTTCACTGTATTCTGTTTTTTAAAGCAGAACACAATGTCAGCCAAAATTTAAGTGAAGGAGAAATAGGTTCTGCCTCTTGATGGGAGGAGTAGCATGTGTGTACAGGAATAGGAGGAATTGTTGGCAGCCGTCTTTGCAGATAGACTATCACAGTTCTTCCTCTGGTGGACAATTCACCTCTTTTCAACATGCAGTGTGTACACTCCTAAGATGCCCAGAAATCTCAGGTTCAAAGTTCATTATTTTATGGTATGCATTAGCTTGAGATGTGGATGAAGCAGTTCCTTGGGTACAGTGCCTCTTTGGATACCCATTAACCAAGAAGACAAATTATACTCCCCTTCCTGTAGACACTCAATATATAATTTTGAGACAGGGACAGCTAAGCACAGAGGATGCTCTGATGGAAAGTGAAAGAATGGAAGCATAAAGCAGTCTTTGGTCCAAAGCAATTTTGATGTAACCAGGGAATCGAGAACATTCTTAATTATGGTTTAGTTCTGTCTTCTGGTGGTGGCTTTCATAATTCATTATTTTTCTCAGCTCTTGGCTGTGTCCTTCAGGCTCTTGGCTCTACTCCCTGAAATGGTCCTTGTTTGTACCTGAGTAGCAGTTTCACTCTGCTTCATGTATGCGACAGGCCTCTTCATTTGGAACAGTATTTTTCCTCCCCCCAAACTAATAGAATTCCATTAAACACTTGGTGGGTTTTCTGTATATCTGATTATAAGGGCATTCTATTAGACAAAAGTCACATTCATATTTTTTTCTGAGACAGGACTCTCTCTACTTTGGATCCCAAGTTAGGGTCCTCTAAGTTTATTAGAAGCCTGTTTGCCTACCTGAGAGAATATGCAAGCACTGTTTTACATCTTTCTGAGGCCTTAACAAAGGATCCTACAGATGCATTTTTGGCAGGATGATTGTGAGCCCATGGTTTACTGGTAGCACTCTGCATTTGGTCTTTGCCCTCATGCTGTTTCTTTGACAGTATTTTGCTATCAGTAGAGGCTAGTTATAAGAATCGGTTATTTTCCAACCAAACAACTCCTGGTTAGAAATACAGTTGACCCTTGAACAACATGGGAGTTCGGATTGCCGACCTCCTGGATAGTTGAAAATCCACATATAACTTTGGACTCCCCCCACCAGATTTAGCCACTGATAGCCTACCGTTGACCAGAAGCCTTACCGATAACATAAAGTCATTAACACATATTTTATATGTTATATGTAATATATATTGTATTATAATAAAGTAAGCTAATGGAAAGAAAATGTTATTAAGGAAATCATGTGGAAGAGAAAAATATGTTTACAGTACTGTACTTACTGAAAAAAATTCATGTATAAATTGACTCATGTAGTTCAAACCTGTGTTCAAAGGTCAACTGTATTTAAAAAAATTCTGCTTGTAATTCTTTAGCTCGTTTTTCTTCTTGTACCGTCTCGTATATGGCTGTAAAGAAGCCATTGACACTTTGAATATTTTGCCTGGAATTTTTTTTTAGCTCGATCTATAGGTTCACTCATGTATATTTTTGACTTTCTAAATTATTCATGTGAGAGTTATGCTAATTGTTCTGCTAGTATATGATATGGATCATCCTTCTTCAGGCCTCCTGTAGCAGTTTCCTTACTGCTCTTCCAGCTTCCAGTCTCCTTGTTGCCCTTATAGCTTCTGTCTGCCTCTGTGTCCCAAAAGCCAATATTGTATGTTTTAGGTTTCTGTTACAGTAGTACTCTTTCCGGATACCATTTTTTATCTGCAGCATGACAAATCACCTCAACGTGCTTATTTGTTTATGGTTCTGTGAGCTAGACATGTGATTGGGGTGAGTGGCTACAACTCATCTTCTGTATCTGCCAGTTGAAGCAGGTTGACCTAGGCTGAAGGTTCCAAGATGTCTTCACTTCCTGTCTGGGGCTGTGATATTGGTTATCTGCTGAGGCACCTTAGTTCTCATCTTGATGCTATTTCCATTTTGTCGTCAGTCATCCTTCAGGGCCTCTCTACATGCTGTCCTTCACGAGCAGGATAGCCTTGGACTTTGATGAAAAACATGGCAATTCAGGATTGCAAGAACTTAAAAGTAGAAACTTTCAGGCCTCTTAATACCTAGGCTCGGAAACTGCACAGTATCACTTAGGCCACAATCTACTCATCAAAGCAAGTTGCAAAACTAGGTTCAAGAGGAAGAAGAAATAGATTCTACTTTTGATGGGAGGAATTTCTGATGATTGTATTTGCAGACAGCCTACCACAGTACCACTGCATTTAATAGTTCCTTGGGTCTTGTAGATAAGTCTGTTTCCCTTGCCTGACAGTTACCTAATCTGTTCCCTGCTCAAGGGCAGCTGGTCTACTCTGTACCCACCACTGTACTTGGTACACAAAAGGATTTCGATAATTAATTATTGAATGAATTAATAGCGATCTTTTCATTTTCAATACTTTTATTAAATGTTTTCCCAAAAATGAGGTCAAAGATTCTTTTTTATTAACTGCTTTTCATATCATGAACACATTTCCATGTCATTTTTACTCCTTTTTATTGGGTGTACATAAGACTTTATAGTATGTCTGTGTAATACTTTAATCAATTTACCATTTAATTAACTTTTCCCTTATTTTTCAATATAAGTTATTATTACAGATTTACAAAAGTTACATATCTAAAGTATTATTTATAATTCTGTGTGTTATTTTAAACAGATTTAAACAATGATGTTTATTAGAGCTTTTTAAAATAATAATGAGTAGTATAAAGGAGAAAGCAAAATGACTCATAATCCCTTGCTCAGTTAACTCTGTTGACATTAAGAAAGTACACGTACATGGCTTGAAAAGATAAACAGTATCAGAAAGTACAAAATAAAAGTCTCTCTGCTTCCCCTCAACCAGTGTTTACTGATAGTAAAAATTATGCATGTTTGTGAATATGTATGATTTATATTTACATGTTTATTTGTGTAAATTAAAACATGTAAGGAAGAGATCATATCTTGTTCTGATCCTTTTTCTATATATTATCTTTACCATAGAAATTCATGATATTTACTATTGCATATAATTGCTTTTGGGGAAATTAAGTTAGGATATGTAGAAACCATCTATCTTGGAAAAAAACTAGTTAACTCAAAATAAACAGTATTTCATCCCAACTTTTCTTTTTCTCTGCATTTTACTCTGTTCAGTTATCTTTTCCTCTCCTTTACTCCTTTCTCTATATCATCCCCGTTCACTGTTTGTTTACAGTTTATATTTTTAGTTGATTTTTTTTTTTGTAATTTACATACAGGTAAATGTACTCTTTATTTTTTGCATTTTTGAAGGATCCTTTATGGGTGCTCTTTTTTTAAAAAAAATAAATTTATTTAAATTAGTTTCACGTATACAGTACATCAGTTGGCCATCTGTATTGTTCATAAAATGATCCCCCAATTGCTCCCTTCCTCCTCTGGCCCTCCGCTTAGCCATCATATTAATGCTAACTGCATTCCCTATGCCGTGCTCACCATCCCCATGACCAGCTATCAATTACTAATTTGTGCTTCTTTAACCCTTCACCCCATTCTCCTCAACGCCCCTCCTCACTGTCCATCACCAAATTGTCCACTATTAAATGAATTCTTTATGGCGTAGAATTCCATGTGTATTTACAAATGTTGACTTGTAGATAGCCACACAATTAAGATATAGAACAATTCCTTTGCCTCAAATTCATTGCTTTTTGTTCAGAAAAATGTACAGAGCAAATAGGATGCTTTGGTAACTTTGAAAGTGTTTGAGAAGTATGGCCCTGTAAAACTGTTCTTGTTCACTGTAAAAATATCTTCTTTCCTTAGCCATATAGTACTTTTTCTTACTGCCAATATTTTGGAACATGGACAACTCAAAACACAGCTTAGTGTATTTAAATTTGTTCCATCTTCTACTTTAGGTTTTAGCCAGTCTTAAAATTCATTGTGGTTAGGATTCGATAACTCTTGGAGTACTTAGACCATTATTAAAAGAAATCTTTATTTTGCATAGTTTACCAAGCTAGTTAAACCTAAGTCTTGTAATTCTTATGTTTATTCAATTAATTATATTTTGAGTTTCCTGAGAACACTACTCTCAGATGCCTTCGTATGATATCAGATACTATTAACTAAACAGTTTGTCTTGTTCTTAACATCTTGCAT